GTCTTCACAGCACAAATTCAACGGGCTCACCGACTGTACAAACCATTTCCTGGTGGGCAAGATTTTAACAGGCTTACACAAATCAGCGGGCCGACCAGACACCAGAAAACCTATCACTGCAGATCTGCTGCAGGTAGTAACCAACAATCTGCCACACGTATGCTCATCAGCCTATGAAGCCAGACTGTTCAAGGTACTGCACAGCCTTCTTCGGTTTCTTTAGGGTAAGCGAGCTGGTCCAAACTGGACCCTCAAAAACAGGTTGCGCCATCCAGAATTTAAGCTTCTCGAGCAACCCCCAGCAGCTTTCGATCCATCTACCACACTCAAAGTCTGATCAGTACAGGATGGGGACAACAGTTACAATGTCATCTATACCAGGTAATCCGCTATGTCCGGTAGTCGCCATCAAGCAATACCTGGAGGCGCGCCCCTCCAGCCCACAACATGCATTCGTTCATTTCGACCATTCCCCCGTTACAAGGTACCAATTCCAGGCACACCTAAAAAAGGCCTTAGCACACAGCAACATAAACACGGCTGGCTATTCTTTGCACTCCTTCCGCATTGGGGCAGCCACATCAGCAGCCATGAACGGGTTGCCGGAACACCTCATACAGCAATACGGCAGATGGAAATCAGATTGCTACAATGCTTACAAACAAATTTAATGCTGCACAATTAATTCAAATAGTCTTTTCATGGTACTTACTACACTTCTTATTGTTTACAGTTTGGATGGTGGGATCCAGCTACATGGCCAGGGCACGGCAGTACTTGCTCCTGAAGGGCACCAGTCCGAACCAACCGAGGATGCTATGGCTGGCATGAGGGGGGATGAGGTGGAAGGAGCTGGACACCATTCTAGATGCACAGGTCAAGGCAACACGGCGCAGCCCCAGAGCCCTCATCATTCACCCGGGCTCCAACGACCTGTGCTCGGTCAAGGGCAGCCAACTCTACCTTGACATGGTGGCATCAATCCTTCGGATACAACTCCAGCTTCCTGACACCAAGATCATCGTATCCTCAATGCTGCCCAGGCGCTGTGTGTGTTTACGGACAATTTATTGCATGCCCTGGTGCTTGTATGGGCCAGTAAGGATGTCATCTCCACAGGTTAGTGTTTCTTTTCAGTACATAGGCAAGCTGGGCAACAATGCTATCTCCGCGTATCACGTGGCCGTGGGTGTGGGGTAGCACTCTGGTGCTTTGTGGCGGGGTTCACACGAGCTACACTGCTAGTAGCAAATTAACTTGCTTCAAAATCAATATTCGTGCTTAAGGCTACCTGCTTTTCAGCGGGAACCTCTCCGGGGTTACCTGCTTCTCAGTGGGAACCTTGTCTTTCTCGATTTTTCAGCTGGGGAATCGTAAAACAACATACGTTGGGGCAAACAACTGCCACGTATATGGGCCCGGCGGCGGAAGTCGTCTTGTCAAGTGGTAGCTGACAGTTGGGTCCGCGGCGGTAGTCGCACAATGGTTTTGCTAATGGGGCCAGGCAGTGGGATCTGCTTTGGCCGGCTACCTGGGGCCGGGCAGCTGTAGTCTGACTTAGGCCAGCAGCGGTAGCTGCTTTTGGCAGCGTGGTAGTTGCCAAGCAATGGTAGCGTTTAAATATGCTACCGTGGGGGCCGGACAGCGGTAGCAGTCTCAGGCCAGCAGCGAGAGCTGCGAATCGCCATTGGCCACGCTAGTGGCCATGCCAACGGTAGCATTTTGGTATACACATCTAGCAGCTTAGTAGCCCACTAGTACCTGCACACCCTCGGCCATTTAACCCAATCTCATCTTGTGCTTTTATTATAGGCACGGGCATCCACGGCTCGGTGGCCCGTGCCTCTCCTTGGCATATCGTGGGATAAGAGGCACATATAGAGCGTTACTGTTGGGTATTGTTATATTTTGTAATCTATCATATAAATGGGATTTGTAGCTGCAATTACATACTGATGGTTGTTCTGATAATATATGCATTAATTCATGCTTAGTAAATGTAATGATATGTTTGTTTAATTATCGATTCTTGTAATTGTACATCACTAATTCAACCTTATTATATTATGTCTTAGGGTATTATCAACATTAAACCATATCGTGATGGGATTTCCATATCCCTGACGGAACAGACTAAATAAATCCCGTGAACCCCCACAAGTATTCGTCGCCATTCCATCGATGTGGTACCGCTGTTACAATGGCATCCTGGTGGGATGTACAGTCTCTGGAGAAGCCCCAAGCTGGACCTCAACAGCGACAAGGATGTCCAGTCATCATGACTGATGCGTGTCTGAGGTAGATTGTGACTCCCATTGACTTTAACTGGGATATGTGTTCCGTGGGATGGACTGTGCATTTAGTAACCTTCATACTATAAACACTTATTATAAGTCCATGTTAATGATGTTTACATTTATTAGTTGTGCGGAATATGTGTTTGTTCCGTGATTGACCAGTCTGCTACTGCTTCAATCATACCAAGGTTAAGACCAAAGCGAACACAAAATTTGTAAATTTTCGTGAACTTGCCTGAATAACGTTATTCAAGGTAGATTATATTTCATTATAGGAACCTTTTTAAATCATTAAATTTGTGCAAATTGATTTCAATTATCATATCTCTGATATTTCAATTTTAACTGAGTATAAATTTGATACGTTTTATTGGTAAATAACAGCGCGATGGTAAATTATGAACCATTTCAGCAAATTGAATATCCAAATGTTAAACAGAAAAAACTCAATTTTCGAGGTCATCATGTTAGTTGCAGAAATATAAACGTTAGGGTTAATCTCACCTTTCACACTTTGCATGAAACAATTAATGACTCAAATATTCACCAATCATAATTTCAAGTGTTTTGGTTAAATATTTACGACATACTAAATAATATTGTAATAGTCTTACGGGATCACTATGCAGGTGGAGTTGATTGTTTACCGCCATTGCCATGATCGTACAAGTTCCATCCAACGATGTTACCATTCAGATTGTTTTTGATTATAATTAATTACAATGGAATTTGCTAATTTTTAGAAATTAAGGAACTTGAGTGTTTTCCTTTTGTCAAAAAAAAATAAATTATGATCAAATATGAAAAATAAAATTATAAGGAAAATATCGGACTGAATGCCGCTCAACGTGAAGTGCCAAAAGTCAACAATGTCCCTTTCTGGTAATTGTGTGCCTGTAAATTTGGTTGATACTTTCTTAACTCACGATCTTTTCTTTTTGAGGTAAATAAACTACAATTATTTTTTTTCATATTTTGCAAGCTGAGCATTTATGCATACCATATGTAACTTCAAATATACACAAAGCCTACTCGTTAAACAGTTATAGCGAGTTTCATTTAGAGGTGTCCTTTGACTATGCGCCTGTCGACTAGGTTTGACAGTAGCATTGAGAGCTTTAAGGACATGAAACTGACAACCAAATAAGAGCATTTCTTAGCTATTCCCAAAACAAGCAGAGGATCATATGGCATATTGACAGCAAATGGATGCACAACTCTCCATGTAGATCTAGAGTCTGATGCGGATCTCATTGTACAGAAAGCTATGGAAGAAGCAAAACAGGCACCAAAAAATGACACAGCCTCGTTCTTCTTTGCTATCGCACTGATACAGAGTCGGAGCTTTTCTTCAAGTCAGAAGTCAAACAAGGAAAGCAGAAGCAACAGAGGATGTGGGATATCAGGAGAACAAAAGCTATCCTTGGCCTCTGGATTTGCTAGTTCAAACAATACTTGGATGTGACACAACATCGAGGCCGTTTTGACTGGACAAGTCTTTCAAGAATATCAGTGAATGTTCACATTTTCATTCTCAGGCAATCATATTTCACAATCCAGATGCATGTTCAAGTTGGTGACTGGCTTCAGTGAAATCGTGTAACAGTATCATTGTAAACAATTGTGGAATTATGTAAAAGTGTTAACTGTGCTAAAGCTTGTACATACCTGATTGTGTATCTTATTCATGAACTCAATAAACAAATGAACCTTAGTGTATGTAATACTTGAGATATTTTCTTCATGTGTGGTTTTCACATGTAAACAAGGACAATGAGAGATTATCTGAAAATATTGGACATGCACAACAATGGCATATGCCCAACTACTTGATCTGATTAATTACATCTAGAAATACTAAGAGGATGAGGGAGCTCAGAAACTCATCAACTGAGTTACTGACAGATTTTACATTCATGACCGTGAAAACAGACAAAATATCTTTGCAGTGCACAAGAGTGCATATCTGGTAAGCCAGTGATCAATACGATTGCATGCATTAACAGTGTCTCCGTTTTGGAAAACCCCATGGTAATGTCAGCTAGAGACAGGAATAAGAACACATCTGGACCCTAGTGTAGACACCAGGATAGGAGGAGGTACACAATCATCTGTTCCCTTTCAGGTGGACTGCCTCCGCGGTCTAGTGGTAGAGTGTCTGCCCGGAGAGCGGAAGGTTGGGGGTTCGATCCCCGGCCGCGTCATACCAAAAGATTTCAAAAGATGGTACTTGTTGTTACACAGCCTGAGGCTCAGCATTAAGGGGCTAATACGAGGACTCGGAGTCAGATGGCACGACACGACACGACAGGCAGACAGACGGACGGCTGTACTATGAGCATGTAGGGGAGCACTGTTTTTCTTGTAACAAAACCAAGGACAAAGACACTGTCATACACAGTTGGCAACTGCCTCATCAACTTGTGAAAACAGACTGCACTTGACATGGAACTTGGTGAGAACTTAAGCACTGCCTTTATTTAGTCCTCAATTTCATTGTTAATTGTGAGCTTTATGTATGATTGTGTCATTGTTTCAGTGTGCAGTGAACCTGACTCTCCAATATGTCCAAATAAAATTGTTACAAATTATTAATGCGAACAAGGGACACTCACATTTTTCCGCATTTTCTTTTTTTCTCATTGTCACATTAATTTATGATTTCCAGTATTTACATTATAGATAGATGACTTGTGTACTCACTGTCTTCCTGCCATACTTGTCACACATGCTGCCCCAGATGCTGGAACTGGCCATCATCCCAGCGAACACAACCTGCAACATCAAACTGTCAGTCACACACTGTGCATGGTCGTGCACTTACAAGAAAAGGCTGGAGCCGTACATGAGAGCACTGCTATATCAAACTCAACTTCAGATCTGCACATAACATGATATTGAAAGTAGTACTTTTATAACCTTTGGGGCTTTATAGTATGGAACCCATTATTTGTATTGTAATACGTGTATTGGTACATTTGACAGAATTACAGAAACAAAGTCAGTTTTCATTTTCCTATAGTTACCGGTACCGGTCTATGAAAATTAGAGCAATTCACACCATTTAACTAAAATAATGATGTGTGTTTGTGTGCCATATAGTATGAAAAAGGTGTTGGGATACATACATTATCATTGACTGCAGCATCTGTCCAACTAAACACTGTAGTTGATGTACACCTACAGCAGTGAGGGCGAATATGGCTTCACACCACCTCCTTAGTATGCTAACACTTACTGTTGTGATAAGAGCTTCTTGCCAACCTTGTAGCTGCCACTCACAGTGCAAGGCAGGAGACAGAATTGCCAGGATCATCATCTCCATCGCATCTGCCATCTGAAAGTGTTACACATATCAATGATATCAAGAATGTTGCAATCAACATCATAAAAACAACTTCACTTCTGAAGTGGACTGTTCAATTACTAGACACTAGATCCTGCATCTACCCCTACCATGATGGCCTGACTCTAGATCCTGCATCTACCCCAACCATGCTGGCCTGACTCTAGATCCTTCATCTACCGCAACCATGATGGCCTGACTCTAGATCCTGCATCTACCCCAACCATGATGGCCTGACTCTAGATCCTTCATCTACCCCAACCATGATGGCCTGACTCTAGATCCTTCATCTACCGCAACCATGATGGCCTGACTCTAGATCCTGCATCTACCCCAACCATGATGGCCTGACTCTAGATCCTGCATCTACCCCAACCATGATGGCCTGACTCTAGATCCTTCATCTACCCCAACCATGATGGCCTGACTCTAGATCCTTCATCTACCCCAACCATAATGGCCTGACTCTAGAACCTTCATCTACCCCAACCATGATGGCCTGACTCTAGATCCTTCATCTACCCCAACCATGATGGCCTGACTCTAGATCCTGCATCTACCCCAACCATAATGGCCTGACTCTAGATCCTGCATCTACCCAAACCATGATGGCCTGACTCTAGATCCTTCATTTACCCCAACCATGATAGTGCCAGGCCTGTCTTTCAGATATGCTTCTGTAACCAATACTAGAACAGCCTGAATGATTTAGTACATTCCTAAGGTTTTTTAAAAATACCAGAAAACAACATATTACTCACCCAGGCAAATCCTGTGAGAACAGAGAGTTTAACCTGGAACTTGCCAAAACCGATGTTGTCAATGGCTTGTTGGATGGTGAAAGTTTCTGGAATGAAATGTAATAAACACTTTATTTATAGTTTACTAAATACAAAGTTTCCAAATGGTCAATGTCTTGTTATTGTTCACCTTTCCTGTTGGTTATCTGTCTTGCCCTGTCTCATAAAAGGAATGTACTGTCTAATATGAAAGGACTAGGTATGATAAGGGCTAATATGAAATTAACAAATACTTGTCATGAATGTTCTCAGTCATGTTCACATAAATGAGAACAAGATCTTCTGCAGTTCAACACATGCATGATTTGGACTTAAACACATAACAGCACTAAATATATATGCAAGGCTGATTTCTGAGGTTTTTTAAATATAAGCAAGTTTCTGACCTAACCTGATTTTCTAAAACGACCTGGATAAAAATGGTACAAAGAACTGGGAAAAGAATTAGATCAGTTAGATTTTCTCTTGAAGCTTGAAAAATCGAACAATAGTTATCACTGATAATAATTCTAAGAATACTACCTCTATTACATCTTTGCCATAAATCCTGTATTTTGGCTTCAGTCACACAAGTTAAATTTTCAGATTTTCAACAGACGTCCTCTTCACTGTCAATTACATACAATTAGTTGTTCACGAATAGCACTATAGCAACCCAAACTATGACGTGCGTAATGGCGGGAAACCTCACTTCTTTCCAACATCTAACCACGAGAGGTAGATGAATTGGGAGGGAGTACTCCTGTTGTAATAGAGGTAAAATTCTTAGAATTATTAACAATGATAATTATTGTTCGATAATTCTTAAGAATTCTCTAACTCTATTACATCTTTGCCAGAATATACCAGAGGGACCCGGGGAGATGTGCCTCTAGTCATGCTAGTAACTCCCTGTGTAATTGACAGTAATCCTTTTCTGGAAACCATTTAATCACTGATTCTAATCCTGACCAGAGATTATTTCCTCTGAACTTTCCCTTTAGGACTTGAAAATCAGAATGCATCAAGAATCAGTCAAATCCATGATACCTTCACCAGAATTACCTTTATATTTGCTGAGCTTGTTATTAATTATGACATCGTCTCTGGTCTACTTCGACCAAATGACGTCATTTCCTGTTAAAAATGGATTTGTGACACTATTTCCGGTCCTGACGTCATTTCGGGTTTTGACCTCACGTTCGGTGCTGACGTTAATTCTTTTATTGGATAATGACGTCTCTTACCGTGAATTTCTAACTAAAGATCATTTCCTGATAAATGGATCTTCTACTGCTAGTTCCAGTGATAATCCACTTCCGGTTTCTATCTCTTCCGGCTCTGACGTCACATCCAGTCATCTGGTCATCAGGTCATCTGCCCCTAGCAGGAATGATATAGTGTCTCTGGCCCGATGGTGGTAGACTGATTTTAGGGAGCGATCTTAGAGGAATTAAGGTCCAATGTTGTTCATGGGTGTGACTTAATTGTCCAGAGCATGGAGTTCTGAAACTCTTGCTGCTGTCACCATGGTTAGGAGGAAGGAGGCTTTCCTGGGTTTTTGGAGTAAGGTGGCCTTAGCCAGGGGCTTGTAAGGTTCTGTTAAAAGTGCTGATAACACAACAGATAGATTCCACTTGGGGAAGATGCACGAGGTGTGCGAACATCTTCTAGTAGGAAGGATCTCATTAGTCTGTTAAGAATGGGATGGTTCCCAATTGAGAGTCTGTCATGTTGAAGTACAGAGTGAAGTGAAGTAACCTTCTATCATCCAATGCCTGATCTTATTGTCCTGACGTAGATGTAGTTGAAAGTCCGCTACCATAGGGATGGAGATTGTATTAGTTATAATCCCTTGTCGTCTTCTCCACTGGACAAACATCCCCTCTATTGTCATATATAAGGGAGGATGAAGGTCTCCATGATCTTGCCACCACTTCCGAGGCAAGTCCTAAGTACCCGGATGTCTGCATCTTTTGTGTGATAACTTCCAGGTGGTTAGATGCAGGCTGGGCAGATTGTCATAGAAAATGGTTGACCTTGGTTGTGGTAACAGATCTCGACAGAGAGATAACTGGAGAGGCTCTTCCATTAATAGGCTTAATAATCGGCCAGATTGATGCTATCAAGATTATCATGCAATCCGTCTCATCCATCTTGTGGATGACCTTGTCTAGGAGAGACCATGGCGGGAATGTGTATGCAAATAGATCCAATCCGTCCATAGCGCATCCATCTGGTGAGCCATTGAATCAGGAACTGGACTGACATAAACCGGAAGTTGATGGTTTGGGCAGGTGGCAAAGAGATCCCATAACGTGGTTATCCAAGCAAAGACCTCTGGATGTAAGGTCCTCTCTGTTGCCACTATTCTCCCCTGGCGGGAAAGTCTGTTGGCATGGATGTCTCGCTTCATCCAGCAACTGATGATGTGTGCCAAGGCCATCATCAGAGAACTGGATCTGGTTCCTCCTTGTTTCTGAATGTATGCCACTACTGTGGTGTTGTCTGTGGCTATGAGGATGGAGGATTGGGAGAGACGTATTTTCCATGCCAGGATGGCATTTCCCTGCAGTTGATATTTTTCAGCGTATGACAGAAAATGGCCTCCCACTGGACCCGGAGTTGGCCTTATGTTGAAAGACGATAGGCGTAAATTGATAGGCGTAAATTGCAGTCCATAGACATAACCAGGTCGAAAGGGTCTATAACGGGTGGCAAGGAAGTCAGAACGTACATTCACCTCTGCCCCCGATCTTTCCCCTGTGAAAGGATCTTCGTTTCTTGTAGTCAGGCTGACGAAACAAATCCTGAATAGACTAATGTTTGTCATACCCCCGACTCGGTTGGAACAAATCCTTCCTGGGGGGAACAAAGTTCTTACATGGCTGTTTATATGACGAGTCTTTCTGATCCCAGGTACACTCCGGGGTATAGGAAGATCCATGTGCCTGACAGCTGGGTTGATAGTCGACACCTGGAATCATTCAGTTGTGTCTTATCTGACCTCGTCCATGACATGTCCAAATTTGCCGTTGAACATCTTGGGAGCGGTTATCAGTTGTGACATTATCAACCTTTTCGTTTGGTTGGAAACAGCTCTTGAACGAATCTGTGCTAGTAGTTGTTGACGCTGTACCCAGAGTAGCTGTGAAGACATCCAGCCTTGGGTGGAGAGTAAGTCTTCCTGCATTCTGACTATGGTGTCTAGCAGTCTGTGGATGAGTCCGACCTGATCCGTCCTAATAGTCCTAGGAGTCTCTCTGGATATGCTGTCATATGATGTCTGCAATGGTGGAATGATGTGCCTGATTCTGGCGTCAAACCAGTTAATATATGCGCCAATGTCCATTGAATGTCTGGACGCCATAGACAGCTCTTTAATCCGGGAAGCAGGTAACCTGACTTTAGTATTAGCATTGCGTACTAGCTTCATAAAGTCCTCATCCAAAACTTGATGGTCTGGAAGTAGAGAATCATGGGTTTGATACAACTTCCGCTTCAATGGAGGTAAGGGTTGCTGGTGATCATGCCAGAGCTTGAGTAAATTTTCAGAAGCCCCGATCTACCACCTTGCCTGCAAAATTCGACAACGGCAATGTCTGGTGGATATGTTGTGAATTGGAGGTTGAATTACAGGCATAAGATGATATAACTCCTCAATGAGTTCCACAAAGCTGTATCCCTCTGTATGATCCCGCTGGGGTGAATCGTCAGACTGATATACCTCCTCATATAGGTCCAATTCCACCTCAGAATGACCGTGGATGTTCATCATAATCCTTACACTCAACGTGTTCCCCGTGCGGTTCCTCATCCGCTGGTATTCAGGACTCTACTATGAGTAAGGTCTGTGCGGCTTGTGACGACTGCCCGTGTCCTCCATCAAACCACTAGGCTGTCCCATGATGTAATCTCCGTTTCGTGCAGTCTGAGCAATCGGCTTGGGTTCTGTGGGGTCTGTTCCGTGGGGTCTGTGCGGTGACCTTACGGTGTCTTAGATAAGGAAGATGGCCTTGTGGTACCCTGACAGGAACCAAGTGGAAATCTAGATGCCCATGTCTCACGGGAGGGTAAAGCTTGGGAGCTTCTACCCAGCTGGTCCCCATGGTCATCTTGGGTCATCTACAGCTGTGGATGTGGTCTGAACAGATGACTGTCCCCCATGCCTCTTCGGCGGAAGACTCTTCTTGGCCAATACTGTCTGCTTCTTTTTCAGCATCTCCATCTCCTGAGATATAGCTAAGAAGTGGAACTCAAACAGCGACTCCATCATCATCTTCTGTTGGTTGAAGAGCTGTTCCATTATGTTCATAGGGAGCAGAAGTAGATTCATTCCAAGGATTAGTAGGTAGAGACGCTGTGATAGGATCAGAGGTTAGGTCTGAGTCAATAGCCGAAATTACATCGACCTTCTTCTTAGCTTTAGTCAAGGCTTCTGCTAGTTTGTTGAAGGCCTTCTTAAACAAAGTAGAGCACTGATCGCATCTTGCCTCTTCAGTGCATTTGGCCTCTCTGCACTTCCACTAGTTGCTGTGAGGATCTCCCGTGAACATAAAATGGCCACACCTCTTACAAGCAGGAGGAGAGTGAGACTCCATGACGACCTCACAAACACCTCACACCAGCAATACTTATGTGAGTACGATCGTCACTACAATTAGCAGCTCTTAATATGACAATTTTTTATTAAATGTGACTTAAACAATGTGCTAGATTGTTACAACTATAACAATAGGTGTTGACTCTAGCACACAGGAAAGAGTGAGTGAGTGAGTGAGTGAGTGAGTTGGGTTTAACGCCGCTTTTAACAGTATTACAGGTATATCGTGGCATGTCAGCTTAATGTAGGAGGAAAGCCCGAAATGCAGGTCTCAGACGTTTACCACTTCGGTGAAACCCACGAGCACGGGTATGGTGCTGACAAACCTAGAAACATAATCGGGGCGAATCGGGATACGAACCCACAATCATAGGTTTCTGGCGTGTCCGAAGGGACGCAACTCTGCACAGCGAATCGCAGCGCCTTAGACGACTGGGCCACCAATGCCCCCCACAGGAAAGAAGT